ATCACAACAATAACCATCCACCAAACAGTATCTGATTGTGTTTTTTGGCTCTGACAATAATAACAGGCTGATACTGATAGATTGGACACAACTTGATCAACTTTCTGCAACTGGCCCTAGGACCAGATTTAAATCTCTGTTAAAACTAAGTCTGCCTATGGTCAATTGATGAGGGAAATATCAGAAGGTACTTATTACATTGTTAATCTGATTTTTGGGAAGATCTTCCTTATGGATGTTGGCACATCATGGAAACTTTCTGGCAAAGTGTCCTCTGTCCAACTGTCTTTTCAACTCTCTGATTGTCGTCTACTTACAAATTGTATCTCATGAATTAGGGTAAACCTATAACTTCTGATTAACTTGAGCACAAATGTTAACTCTTTTTGGTGGGTCATTGATCCCTTTTTATTCCAGATCAAGATAGTTTCCTAATTGTTTTGCTTTTAGTCACATTTACACTTTTGTTTAGCTTTCTCCTCTAGGTGTTTGTACGTAGCCATCAAATTACCTGGCTGTCAGCAAGATTTAAAAAAAAACGAACAGCTGGTTCCCCATCTCAGTGGCCCCCATTTGGGTTGTGATTATAACCTGGTTCCTCTGGGAATGTGTAGCTATGTAGATCTGACAGTCTGAGATCATAATGACTAGAATGGTAATAAGGCAGTTTGGGCTTTCTGAGTTACCCACAGGGTACGCTACATCAATTTTAGTTGCTATGATTCTTCTGAAAAAAAACTCCTAGCTGTGTAAGACATAATGAATTTCAATAATTAACTCGCAAACAAATTCCTATGCAAATCATTCAGAACAGCTTGTTAGGTTGCAGTAAAATACAGATAATAACATTGCATTTTGCCGCAGGGAGAATGCTATTGCTTCTGCTCTGCAATACGTTCTGCCAGGATAGTAATCACTGGGATTAGCTCAAGCTTTGCTGTGATGCATTATAACTGCCCAGCAATTTGGTTCATAAAAATAGCCAGACTATTTGCAGAAAGCTATTTCACAGAACTGTGCAAAATATAATTTGACCACAATGATTCACCCTATCAAGAAGACATTGTGAGAAGAGGAACTAGTACTACATGGTGATAAAGGACTTCAATATTATTAATTTTTTCCACAACGAAACAGCACATAGTTTCAACCCATTAATCTTTCATCATTCAACAAGTTTCGGTCTAAACCAAGAGTTAAATTCAACTTCCAGTTCCCTTTGATTGCCAGATCTAATAGCATTTATTGCATTTGATTTTCAAGGTTAGCAGTGAAACGTGACAATTTGGCTTTTGTCAGTGAATCATGACTTTAGGCCCTTGTCAGTCTGAAATAGTATGATCTTAGTCATAGACATGTGATTGATAGCTGCAAAGATAAACAAAATACATGTTGCATTACTATATAATAATCCTTGCATTTGATATAATGCTTTTAACGTCTTCTAGACATCTCAAAGCGCTTCACAGAATATACTGTAAAGTGAATTAACTGTATACTTATGGGCGAAATGTGGCAGCCAATTGCGCACAGCAGTGTCCCACAAACAGTCGTGGATTGAAAATGACCAATTTATTATTGTTTTGGGTTTCTTGGAGGGATTATTATTAGACGTGTGGAGTAAGGAAATATAGACAAAATGGTAAACGGAAATACTAAAGATTTTCATTTGGATATACAGCATCATTCATAGCTCCCATTCTGTAAAAAATAACTTTTATGTAACCAGATACAATTTTTCTGAGGGCATTAATTCTAAATCTGGATTGATCCAAAGCATAAAATTACAATGGCGTCCCATTATATATCATTCTATATATTATATATCAGTACTTTAGAACTAAACTGGTGCAATACTGCAGCTGTGAATCTCACATTTTGAGTTAAATGTAAAATGTTATTATAGATGGCCACATCCAACCTAGAGTATTCCTTGAAACAATTTACAAAGAATTGAATAATTGAAAATTGTGCTTTATAATGCTTGCAGAATAACTATTGTGTGGGTGGTTTTGAAATTGGGAGCCCCATTCAGTGCTCAGCAACAGTATCCCAGCCCTCACTCAACTCCTTCATGAAAAGCACTGTGGAATTTCAGCCAAACAAACATTCACAGCTCCTCTTATCTACTTCACTTTGAAGCGTCACCAGAAGTGGACTTATGAGGGAACCACAAAGAGGTAAAAATTCCCTGCAGAACTCCTGAAACCTTCTACCCTTGCAATTTGCATTCTAGCAGTTAATACAAATCGGGAGTTCCAGAAGATTCAGACACACATCTATTTCTATGTTCATAAAAAAAGCACCTGTAAAAGTTCCTTTGAATGTTTTTTGACCTTGTTTTTCAAGGCTGAAAGCATTTTAGAAATTCCTTTTATTTGGTGCTGGAAAGCAGAGGCTGAGACTTTGAAGATTTAACTTCAACACCACGCGTTCAACAATGGCATGGAATTGAAGATTTGAATTCAAAGTACAAACATTAAACAGTGCAACTTCACAAAATATCGCTCATGTTTATAAAAAAAGGGGGAAAAGTGGAGATTTTGAAGGAAGATTCCAGAATAAAGCCGTGTGTTCCAAAGTTTTGTATACAAAGTGTACAGTCACTACACTTTGCTGTGAATCACATGAAGCTCTCGAGACCTCCTCCCAACGTGAATGGCGCTATATCAAATGCAAATCGAAGGATTATTATGTCACTTCATTCTTTGCCAGGGTACTCCTCATCATTATCCAGAGATCTTAGCAGGATGGTGTATTTGTGTAAGATGTCAGGGAGAATACCTTCAAATAATAAAGTCAAGATCAAATAACCTACCATCCTACTCACCATCAAGGTTTGCACATGAATAATGGCCACTTGGGTGAGGAATTGGAGGGTAACTGGCATCTTTGGAACTGTACACTAATAGAAGGAAAAATGAATCAAAATCCTTCTGGAGGGAAAAGGGAATCAGAGGAGAAAATGTTATTTTCGTAAAAAAAGAACTTTGTTGACATTGGCAATGCCATTAAGTGTCTGGGGGTGGTACTGCAGAGCTTGTGAGAAGTTAGTGTCTAATGGTGCCACCAGCAGAATATTAATGGAATTGCAGTCTTTTATTCCTTTTATTTTTTTGATTCCGTAGATTTGTGAACAGAGATTTTCATGTGAATTAGAGCTCCTCCTTTATCTTGAAGAGCGTCTTCAGGAGTCCTGTAGCTCGGTGATTAGAGCACTCGCCTCGCAAGCGAGAGACCTGGGTTTGATTCCTGGCAGAACAAAACCCTGGGCAAGTTTCCTTACTCCACAAGCTTAATAATAATCCCTCAAGGAAAATAATAATAAAATTGGTCACTTCAATCCACGATGGTTTGTGTGACACTGTTGTGTACAATTGGCTGCCGTGTTTCGCCCACAAATACACAGTCAATTCACTTTACTGTCTATTCTGTGAAGCGCTTTGAGATGTCTGGAAGACGTGAAAAGTGCTACATCAAATGCAAGGATTATTATTATTATTAAGGGACTAGAAGCACCAAAACAAAAATGTAAACAAAAAGCAAAATATTGCAGATGCTGGAAAAACTGAAATCAACACAGAAGTCGTTTTGTCTGAAAATGGGCTGGGGTTGAATTTGGGGTAAAGAGCAGCGAGAAATTATTGCTCATTTTTAATCTCGACGAGATCAGGCGTAAAACAAAGCGCAACTCAAGTCAAAACATGTTTCGGAATCATTCACGTGATGATGCGTAATTGGATCGCAAAGGTTTCACGAGGTGAGTAACAGTAATGCTCACCGTTTCTTTTATTCCCCCCCCCACCACCCGCCGTGACATTTTCTACAGTTTTATTCTGGGTGACACGAATCAATCAAATTAAAAGTTCCTCCACATGTCACTCATTTAGTAAGCGGAAATCCCCGCGTGTCACGTGGGCATGTTGACACTCAAGATCCTCTCTCTTCCACACACCCCATATGTGCACCCGCCTCACGCCTGTACCTCTCGCCCTCTCTCCTAAACCTTCCCCGAACGCACCCTGGCCCAACGCCTCCCCATCTTAAACCCACCCCCCCCCCCCGAACCCACCCGCTACCCTAAACCTCCCCCTCTCCTCCACCGCAAACCCTCTCTTCCCCCCCCCGACCCCCACCCCACAAATTCTCCTCTCCTTCACTCTCCGCTACGCCCCTATCCATCCTCACGCCCCTCTCCAGCCTCCCTCTCGATCTCCTCCCACTATTCTATTTCCCCCCCGAAATACCCCTCAAGACACACTCTCCCCCCAAAAAAAAAACCTTCCCCCCCACACCCGCCCTCTCTCCCCCTCCCACACACCCCCCTCTCTCCCCACCATAGCCTCTCTCCCCCTCCCCCACACCCCTTCTCTCCCCCCTCACACCTTCTCGGGTTCCCCTCCCTCTCCCCCACCCACACTCTCCCTCCGTTCTCTCCCCCCCCACTCTCTCCCCCCCCCCCTCCCCCACCTCTCTCCCCACCCACTCCCCCCCCCCACTCTCTCCCCCCCCACTCCCCCCCCACTCTCTCTCCCCACTCTCTCTCCCCCCCACTCTCTCCCCCCCCACTCCCCCCCACTCTCTCTCCCCACCCCCTCTCTCCCCCACCCACTCTCTCCCCCCTCCGACCCTCTCTCCCCCCCCCCCACTCTCTCCCCCCCCCCCACTCTCTTTCCCCCCCTCTCTCTCCCCCCTCTCCTCTCTCCCCTCCCCCACACACATCACTCACTCCCATCCCTCACCTCCCACCCCCGACACCACACCCCCTCCCCCCCCCCCCCGCACACACACACACGCGCGCGCACGCCCCCCTTTTTCCTCGGCCCCACTTGCCCCCCCCCACCCCCTCTCCCTCTTACACTCCCACTGACGCAAGAGGCGACGCTGACGTCAGCGGGGGGTTTCCGCGGTGACGCTGCGGTGCGGAGGAGCCGAGCGGCGCGGCGGCCTCGCGCTGGTTGTTCGTCAGAGTCTCTCGCCCTCATCCTCGCGCGCAGAAAATGGCCGGCGTGGCGGCGCGGGGCAGCCTCGGGCTGCGGCCCGGGCCCGGGCCTGGGCCCGCAGCCGAGGCGGGCGCTGTGCCGAGGCGAGTGGCGGGGCCTCCTGGCGGCGGCCAGGCCCAGGCCCAGGCCCCGGCTCCGGCCCCGGCCCAGGCCGAGGAGATCAACGACGAGTTCACGGCGCCCAAAGCGAAGCAGCTTCACCTGGAGCGCAACAAGGCGGCCATCGAGGAGCTGTTCCGGGTGACGATGAGCACCTCGTCCCCGAAGTCGGTCCTCCATTTCCTGGCCGACTCCCCGGGCTCCGCGCAGATCTGGGTCCAGCTGAGGGGACGGCGGGAACGTGTACAAAAGGCGAAGGTACCGAGGGGTCGGGGGTCGGTCGGGGTGGGTGGGGGGAGGGGGAGAGAAGCTGCCCGGCCTGGACCGGCCCGGAGGCCTCTGCTTTCCTGGGGCACCTGGACCCGGAAGCCCAGCTGTGGCCTGGCTTCGTCCGTCCCCTGTCAACGCAGTGTTTTCTTTTGGGGGGTGAGGTGGGGGATTGGGGGACGACGACGACGAAAAAAGTTTAAACCGTCTTGTAGTGGATTTGTTTGCCCACCACCGCCCCCTCCCGCAAAGTCGGCCCCGTTTCTCGAGCGGACGAGCTCAGCACTCGCTCAACTCGCGTGTGTGTGTGTGTCCCCCCCACCCACCTCCCCAACTCCTTCAAACACAACAGTGTTTACGTCTGGGAGGTCGCCATTGTGGCGCAGATATTATTATGGCTGCTCCAGCTCTCTTCCCCCCCCTCCCCCTCCCCCCACCACCCCCCCCACCCCCACCCCCCTCCCCCAATCCAATTTTCTCTCCCAGTTCGTGGAATATTTGGTGTCAGTTATTTCTATGTTTTTTCTTTAAAAAAAACGAGAATGCGAGAGGGGCGGGTGGTGGGGGAGAGGGGGCGACGTTTGACTGACCTGGTGCTTCGTGGGGTTATTAATAACATTCTCTGCAGTCGAAACCGCTCCTTATCCGCGCCGTCGAGACATCTCGAAAAATCCCTCGGGTTCATTGGCGTCGAGTGCGGTGATGGGTGTATTTTGTGCGCTGGGTGTTTTGACTGAACGCAGCAGCCAGTTTGCCCACAGCGGTGTCTTAGGAACAGCCTTGAAGTGAAATGACCAATTTTACCTGTGGGGATTGTCGGCCAAGGCACTGGGGAGAAATTCCAAGTATCTTAAAGCAGAGTACTCAGGACGCCACGTCCGGGGAAATGCATTGACGATGGACTGGGCTGAAAGGATTCAATAAACCGGTTATGTTGGTTGGAATTCAGTAGGTGTTCAAAATAATGCAAGTTGTTGACCGAATAAATGGGAAATGACTATTCACTCTCGTTGGGAAATGCAATGTACAATTAAAATCCCAATAATTTCAATGATTAGGCATAACACAATGATGTGTTCACCTGACTACGTTATGCAAATTGATTTCAAAACTGGCTTGGTAATGGAGCAAAACTTGTTGTAACTAATACAATAATCAACATAATGTTTGTGAGGTTTCTTCAGTTGTGAAAATAAAATAACGAGATTGCTTCTATCATTCAGGCCACATTAAAACGTTTGGTTGAAATGCTCAATCCCAAACTAGTACGATACTATAGAATGTTAGTTTATTTCTGCCCTGTATACTGATGAAGCATGTAATCCTTTTGCTTTAAATGCGTTTCTGTGGAATTCTCTTCATCACGTGATGTGTTTACAAAAAAATTCCGAGGTTGCAACACCATCATCAGTTGGTTGCTGAGTAATGCTGTCATAAACGTGGAGGTCTCGTAGCAGGAAGATGATAACCCTGGGAAACCACCACTTCTAATAGATTTCAACCTCCTTTAGGCTTGGCCTAAGCCTTTATGAAATCTGACATAATGCTGGCAATTTATTCAACAAAGGACTGTGATACTTCTATGTTGTCTTTGAGCAAGAACTGTTAGGGTGGAGCACATTTTGGAAAGAAGCTTGGCTGATTAATTATTTGGATATTTTAAAGATGGACTGACACAAATGTATAGTTCTGAATTATTTAATTTTACAGAAAGGGAGGCAATGGCAACATTAAATACTTTTAGAGAAGTAATCATGGTCAATCAAACCTATCAGGGCAGGAGAATATTTAGCTGTGGCAATAGATATCACACTTTGTATTTGACATTTGCTCAAAATTCACCCTGTGTGCAGTTTTTAAACATAGCAGGTTGGGCAACTAGTTGAATTCCTTCAATATGTCCATCCTCACAGTTATAGTTAATATAGACCCGTTTGTGTGTGTTTCTTTCGCTGCTTCAGAATAGTAGAGAAAGAAAAGTTAAGTTTTTAAAATATCCATGTGCAATTGAATAGAAACTATTTATATAATTGAGAAACTACCTTATTTGTATTTATTGTGTTTTACAGGAATATATTAAGGGTATCTGCAATCCTGAATTTCGAACAGTTGAGAATTATCCAAAGGACATGCACTGCATTTTTGCTGGAGCTAAAGGATTGTTTCGGAATTTTCTAGTTAAGTATACCTGTGCCGATATTTCCCTAGAAGATATTGGAGTAATTGCCATTGCTGGAAATATGGAAGCTGTTATCATGGCTAAGACTCGAATACAGCAGTTTGCAAAGCTCTTTAAGGATAATCAAAGCTTATCAAGTAAAAAGGAATCTTCCATTAAGAGGAAATTCAAGCAGTTTGTGGAAGTGCATGCTGATAAATATACAATGGATTTGCTGCTCTTACCTAGCTCTGTCAAAGAGGAACTTATGAATCTTGCTCAGGATGCACATCATCTTGAAGGTAATATTGAATTTGAAGATCTTACGTTGGAGTTCGAAGACTCTTCTCAGAATCCATGTTCCGAAATAAAAGGTAAAGATCTGGCTTTATTTGAAGAGGCCAGAAAACAGGCTGGCACCCCTGTATCAGACCTTGCACAGCGAATGGATTCAATGCTTACACCTGATTCCAAAAATGCATTTGGTTCAGAAACAGAGCAAACATTTTGCAGGGAATTCGACACTGGAAAGGAGAGATTACCATGTAAAAGAAGATCATCTGGCAGTGAGGACCGGCATACAAAGCGACAGTTTTCAGGGGAGGTTAATGACTTTGTATATAAGCCTCCTACCCAACTGACTTCGAATGAGTTGGTCACTGATTGTGATGAAACGTATGACATTCCAATAAAGTGGGGTCAAGATGGCCAAAGTGAAGAAGATATAATCCCTACTACTCCAGAAAAGGAGTTCAACATGCTTGTAGATTTTTTCAGGACTATGGGTTATTCTACTGACATTATAAAGAAAGTTATAAATGAAATGGGACAGACTGAGGAGCCGATGTTATTACTTAAACAAATTGTTGAAGAAAGTAATACTTTGGAGACCTACCAAGATGATGCCATCTATCAGAAATCACATCCGGGTAGCTCTCGTATTCCAGCTCCGAGAATTCCAGATAGTGCACACATGGAGAAATCGCAAGATTTTGCCACCCAAATTGATGAGGATAAAGTGAATAAACCAGACATAATTCCAAAAGTTGGTCATTCTCCAGATCAAAGGAAAAATGAGATGCTTAAAGAAAACTGTCTTCCTCTCGGAGTCCTGGCCAGTTCGTCTCAAAACAACAGCATTTCCAAACTACCTTCAGAGAAGTCTGACACTGTTAGACTCGTAAACAATAGACTCCAAAATGATATTCAAAATAGTCAGCCAGCCATGAATTTCTTCAGTTTTGAAAAATTGCTTAATGAGCAAGGGCCAAGAAATGAAAGTGAGATTGTAGCGAGAGGAAGCTCTGAACAGATGCAAATAAGTTATTATCCAAACATGATGCCTTTTCAACAGCCTGCTATATCTTCTTCCAGTCAGCAAAAAGGCAGTTTGGTGACTGGAGTCCAGCGGTTCAATAATTTACTGAAAACCCCTTACAAACTTACTCTAACAAGTGATGCTGGAAAGACAGATTTAAAACACATTATAATTGACGGGAGCAATGTTGCAATGGCGTAAGTATGAATACCTTCATCCCACACGCACTTGCATAAAGAAGCATCAACATTTTAATAATAATAATTGCATTTGATATTGCACCATATCACTATATAATTATTATTTTGTAATAGTTTAAAGACTCTGCAGGTATGTAAATTTATTTGGTCTGATTGATTTGTAGTAAAAAAAAGTCAGATGATTCAAACATGCTCTTCTAAATATCGCAATGAGCCATTTGTTGTTCCAGGTGAGACTAGAATAGCCCATTAAATTTTTTAGATATGAAAAATATTTCATTAGTATCCAATGTATGAATTGAATCTGTCCTTTTGCCTAGGTGCAATTGATGTTGTCATCCATTATATTTTCTATTGCTAACAAACTCCAGATTTAGTCAGTCTGTGAAATGCATATTCTGTGACAAGCCAGTTACTTATCAGCAATATGCAGTAGATTACATCTGGTTATATATGTGTTAATGCAAAGCTCTGTGACAAGAAAAGCTTGAAGTGAATACCTCTGGCAATCGGCACATTCATGGTCACCAATTTATTTTGTATGTTCAGTTTATATTGGTGTCTTTTAATATTTTTGTGTAACGTACTGTACATTTTACAATCTCGGGTTCCGACATTATCAAATTCTTGAATATGCATGTTTGTTGTTTTGCATATAGTACTCGACTTATCAATGGGAATCTCAATGGCCTGTTCAAAACTTAGGGCTCAAGTAAGATCTGCCCCTGCCTTTAACTTAAATCTATCAGGTGTTATTATAGTGACTAAGGAGTCACTGCTAGATTTTACCCTCAGTCTCGTAGATCTGTGAAGGAGTACTGTGTGCATGTCATTCAAAGGCTATATGTTTTGCTATTTACTCATGGTACTAAAGTGTTACACACACTTGCCTGAATCATTTCCAGTTTCCTTGTCACTTATATAATTGTACGCTATAAGTGCAAATTACAGTATGTGCATTTCAAAGATTTGCTATTCAATGAAATGAGTCAATTAATCTCCATTTACGTTGAGATTGGGAGATTCCTAGTACTACATTACCATAAACACTAGTATTTTGCAGTACTGAAGTGTAATCTCAGCCTTCGGTACTTTCCTCCTAGTATCCAATAAACAAACTTTTGATGATAACTTCAGTTGTTCAGAGCTCACTGGGAAGTCTTGAAAATGTTTCCAAATGTCATTAATCTAATCGTGCACTTTTCCCCAAAACGTGTGTCGGTGTTCTAGAGCCTTCCACATCACTATGTTTTACAACATAGTAGAAATACATCATTGACATTTAGTTTGATTAAATTAACTAGTATAGTGAAAATAAGATTTAAACTGATGCAAACTGCATTATAAATTCCTGATTTGAATAAGTGTTTTGCTTTGCATCACGTAACTTTTAAAATTTCTAAATCTGAAGAAATTGAATGTGTCCTACTTTACAGTAAATCTATTTTTGAAAACCAGATATCTTTAAATAACTCAACATTGGTTAATTGTAGTTTGTGGGAAGTGTGTTACTTGTACTTTCATAATTTGAAGGGAACTCCCCCCGCTCTAACCCCACCTACACCTACCCACCCCAACACACACGTACACACAAAGACTTGTCTTATAATGTTTCATCACATGTTACAGGAACGGAGTGCCCATACATGGTAGCATGAAACACCAAAGTCAAGCATTGCTGTTTTTTTATGCAAATCATACCTGATTTATCAGAATCTAAAAACGGAAAACTTGTTGATACTGTCATGAGGTGATTGCTCAGACTTTGGTACCATAATTTAGTATAGCCTGTGCAAGGTTCAGCCTGTGCCAAATCCCAGTTAACCCGTCCCTGCCTTTGTGTTTTCCAGATTGAGCTTTATCTCTGCGCTTTTTTTAGAGTGGGGGGCGCGGGGGTCTGACATATGTGGAAACCTATCACCGTGCTAAACAATATCCAAACCAAACTAAGATACATCCCACATATACATGAATATTTCAGAGGTGTTTATTGAAATGGAATGTGCACTCTCTTCCTTGGAGGGATGCATCCTGCTTTCTTAATTCCAGAAAGTATTAGGCGCAGGTTGGCAAGAGTCGAGGCTTAGGGATCCCAGAATATGCGTTGGGGTACTGCTGAGGTTTAAGCAGCTAAAACTGCATAGCTTGCAATTGATAGCACTGCTTGGCAAGCTTTCCTGCTGCTTGTCCAACTAGGACCACCCTACCCATTAGGGCTTTGGCTTGCATGGTTAACCAGAGCTGATGTCAAACTTACTGGTCTGTAGTTTTCTGTGTCACTTTTGTTACCTTTCCCAAAAATAGGAGTAACATTCGCCCAGATGGAAGCAAATGCTATTAGCCTACAAACAAAATAACATGAGTGTCTGCTGACGTCATCAAGTTACCATTTTGACTTGAGGGAGGGGGGAGAGAGAAAACAACAAGTGAATTTATAAGGTGGTGACGTTGAGGGGGGTTTCTGGCTTGAAAATACATACAGGAATGGTGTTTTCCACAGTTCTGGGTGTGGTTTGCTGCCTAAACATTGTTAAAAGGAGTATAAAGCATTGGGAGTTTTGAAAAATCCACAGTGGGAAGATTGGGAGTTGCCCCGTGTGGGCCATGTACAATTATGACATTTCAGTCATTAGTTAGTTGAAGCATTTGGGGTTTTTGGGGTTGGGATTTGTAAACCATATTGAATGTATTCAAATTCTGTACAATTCTTTATGAAACAAAAATTGGGATATAAAATATTTGTGTAATTTTTAAATTGAAGCTGGTGGATCTGTTTCTAAGCAATGTTCCAATGTTTTTGTGGTTTGTGTGGTGTTCGAGAGCTGCTCAGAAACACAGAACTACAATTACTTACTGTCCTCCGTAAAATGTTTGACCCTCACGTGGAGAACTCCTGATTTTGATCAGTCCAATGTGGATGTTTATTAAATAGAAGAAAGTATAAAGCTGATAGTTATATTAAGACTACAGTTCCTATATTTGTTGGAGCAGTTTCATTTGTTCTGGAATAAGTCTACCCTTTAAAAGCAGGATTCTCTAGTATATTGCTGACAGGATTGAAGGTGGCTGGGAAAAGCCTGTGTATAGGCCCTGAAATCTATAAAACTGTTTCTATTAACTATCTTGAGTTTATTGCAAGTTTATTCCAGGCAATATTGAGTACAGCTGTGTTTTGACAGTGTTGCAATGTCATAGTCATAAATTTACCAAAACGCTTTATTTTGAGTTTCGACTACTTTTAATTCAACCTGTCTTTAATTTGAATTGCGGCTAGTACGCAAAGTGGAAAAAGGAAGGCTTATACTTTGTTGCTTTCTGACTTGACAAATCTTGATCATTGGAATGGGGGTGGGGGGGAAGAGTTTAGGCCAGTGCTGTAATATAAACCACGGTTTTAAATAATACCATCAACTCACCTCTTATCAGTTTCTGAAGGTCATAATGTTTTCAAACTTTTTTTAAATGTTTTTTAGACATGGAATGAAAAAATTATTTTCCTGTCGTGGTATTGCTATTGCAGTTGAATACTTTTGGAACCGTGGTCACAGGAACATTACTGTATTTGTGCCACAGTGGAGAACCAAGCGTGATCCCAAAATCACAGGTATGTGAAATAAATGGAATCTACAATAAAGGGTTTCATTGGGATTTTCATATGAATGCAGTAAAGACCCACTTTTTTAAAAACTTTACAGGAAGTTACACCAATTTTTTACTCTGGCTTTGCAGCAATGCTGAGAATATTTTTCGAGTGCCACACACGCAATTTCATGCACGTTTCATCTGGAAATATTTTAAACTAAATCAATAATTCCAACGCTCTCTAGACCTGCAAATTGATAAAAATATTAATGAAAAAATTTAGATCACAAGACACGTTGTTATGTAGAATTATATAGAAAATTACAGGACGGAAGCAGGCCATTTGCCCCAATTAGTCCATGCTGGTGTTTTTATACCATTTGAGCCTCCATCCCTCCTAATCCCCTCTCCCACACTCCTCTATTCCCTTCTCCCTCAAGTGCTCATCGCTCTCTTAATAAGTTGATGCTTTCTGCTCGAACCACACTTTCACCATCCTCTACAAAAAAAAGTTTCTCTCAGACTCCACTTTAGACAATAAGTGGACACAACCTATTGATATCCAGCACCTTGAGACATCCTCCCTACGTGAAAGGCGCTATACAAATGTAATCTTGTTGTTGTAATAGCCACCTTATTGAATCCAGTCATAATATTAAATGCCTTTCAATCGTCTCATTTCCAGAGTGAAAGGCTCTTAATTTTAAAATCTGCACACAAATCATCTGTTTCTAAGTCTTGAGTGTAAATTAAATTATGAATGTGATGTTGAGCATGTTTTATTTTTTAAACAGAACAACATTTCTTAACTGAGCTTGAAGATCTGGGCGTACTTTCTCTCACACCGGCTAGAACTGTGTGTGGAGTAAGAATTGCATCTCATGATGACAGGTGAAACAGTACTCCCTGACTACATTAATGCATTTACTCTAAATCTGTGCTGTACTTCCTGAAATTATAAACTTTGGTTACTTTCTCACGGTTACTTGTTTGTCTTTATTCCGCTTGCATTCTGTAAATTTTAGAACTCAGAAAGACAAAACTATTCTGGAGCAAATACTTTCACTTCCAAACTGTTCCCTGGTCTTTATCTGAAAAAGTAGTGCATAGCCTGAATTTTCCCAGGCTCTTGAGAGACCTTGTTCAGTTCCCCTTCCCCCAGTTGCTTGATGACATTGGTTAGGGAGAAGAGCCAGAGGCATTCCTGGGAAGATCTTTTCACTTTAATGAAACTGGTTCAGAGCTGTCAGGTCCAGAGAAAACTTACTCTTGCCAGGCACTGTTGTAAACTTGGCTGATGGAGCCTTCTGGGGTTACCTAGCCCAAGGCTGTAAATGGATTTTCATCTTAAACTTTTTCCTCCTTGTAAGATAATTCAGGTAATCTTTTTTCTTAATTGAAAGAGTGCTGTTAATTTAAGAATCCAGGAGAGCTACGTTAGTACATTAGGACAAAATCAGCTGTTGGTTCTGATCATGAGCACTTTGGTTGCATTGGAACTTTGCTCTTGATACCTGGCATTCCGACTCTAATAAAAATGACTGCAGCCAATGTAATCTTGAGCGTTTTTGAAGTCCTCTGTTGATCAAAAGGTCAAGTAGTCACTGCTTCTGTGTTTTGATCAAGTCCATATTTCGTAATGAGCTTTGGCATGATATTGATTGTTGCTGAAGTTCAAGAGGATAGATCGTTAATGTTTGCATAGTCAGTGTATGATTGAACAGTCTGAGCTATTCTGTTAGAGAGGTTAGATAATAAAATATGGCTGTTTGAGTTCTTTCCTGTTTTAAACTCAATAATACAAACTCTGTCTCCTATAATGTTGTGTGAGCTTTAGGTTGCTTTTGAGGTATAAGTAGTTGATCTGTGCTGATCTTTCAATGTAACTTGCATACTTTTAACAGGTTTCTGTTGCATCTTGCTGAGAAAACTGAAGGGATCATTGTCACAAATGACAACTTAAAAGAATTTGTTTCTGAATCGCCAACTTGGAGAGCAATAATTAAAGACAGGTGACCCATGATGTCCTATTCATTTCTAACATGATTATAGAATGTTGATTACATTGAACAATATGTTATAAACTTTGGTTGTGTACATCCATTCATTCGCTTTTTGAGAACTTGCATAAGTTGTTTGAAGGTACCCTTACAAACCTATTATTGTTGTCATTCTGCCCTATACAAAAAAAATCTCATCTCAGCACAGACTGTTCTGGGTCTGAGTTTGTAATGGGTTATGGACTGTTTTTGACTAAGAGAGTTTAGCAGCAGAGCTTGACCCTGTCCTTACATGTATACTTTCCAGCAAGGGACACCGAATAACCTTTGAAATTTACAACTTTTGACTGATATCTTCACCTTCTAGTTTCTTCCCTCCTCTCCCCCCCCCCCCCCCCCCCCCATAAAAGTAGCTAGCACATTGAAGGATATTCTAGTGCTCCCAATTGTTACCAAACTGAGATTATGTTTTCTTGAATATGATTCAGTAGGGGATAAAGCATGTCCCACTTCCCTTGGCTATTGATTCTAATAGAAATCAGCTGTTTATAGCATTCATTGCTGTAAAGCTGAGAAAATTAACTTATATTGTGTTTATTAATTCATTAACATCTAGAATGTGGCGAAGTGTGTGACGCTCTGTGCTGTTGAAATATACAGCTAGCTGCTTACCTTGTTCACACAAATAATTCACTCCTGAAAGCACCACAACATCTTCTCATTTTTGAGTTGCGAAATGAAATGAGGAAGATTTCTTTTACGAAACAAATGGAATTTTTTCAATGAATTAAGATTATTTATCTGAGCTAAAATAAGTGTGGACATATCCATACTCTTTGCCATACTGCAGTTGTGTGCTATTAATTCATTTAAATAATTGCTTCAGCACCAAGAATATTGAGGTTACTTTGAGAAGGAGAGGAAACATTTTGCTGAAATTCATGTATAATATTGGTTACATTTTCTTTCATATAGGCATTAGTCTACTTTTTGAGAGCAAGCTGTAATGTATTTCATGTTTTTAATTTAGGTTACTACAGTATACGTTTGTCGGAGACATATTCATGATACCAGATGATCCTCTTGGAAGAAATGGACCCGGGCTGGATGTTTTTCTGTATCAGAATCCTTACAGGTAACTCCTGAGAGAAATCTTTCACCAAATCAAACTGTTTAAAAAATGGGCTTCCCATTCATTTTGTTGTATAAGCCCATCTTTGCTGTTTATAATTCAGGGCAGTTCTAAATAGCACTGTATTTTGTGAATTTTGCAGATGTGGGTGTCAAGGAAGAGTCTAGACTTGTTGAGAGCAGCTTTAGATTTGGCACAACAGCAAAATGGCCCAAGTCTGATGTGGAAGTTTAGTGAATCAGTAACACAACACAGTACAGCACAATAGCACACATAATGCAGCACACTGCTTTCAACACACAGGAAATACCAGCAGCAAACTGATGAGTCAGAAGTTGACTATTAGCTGCACTTTGTTAATGAGACTCATAATATTGGACCCAGGTGACTGCATTATATGGGGTTATACTGCATCAATCTCTTACTTGTCAATGTGGACAACTGAACTTAGCACTTTATTAATGGCTACTTTTCTTTCTCTTGTTAGGCCTCAGCCCAAGAAACTAATCGCAATACATGGTCAAAATCTTCCTTTTGGCATTAAGCAACCTGATAACTGGGTATCTCAAAACAGACCTCCTCCGCTGCCTCCATTCCGTTCCGTAGAAGAAACTGAAAGACTGAAGGAAGAGTTATTGAAGATATTTCCTGATTTCAAACAAAGGCAGAAAATTGATCAGATCCTCAGAGCACACCCATATATGAGGGACCTTAATGCACTTTCTGCAATGGTGCTGGATCAAGAATAAGTTTGCAAGTAATCGGTGCAGTATTGACATGGTAAAATGCAGACTTGTGAGTCGTACAAAAGAAAATGTGACCGCAGATCAGTTGAACAGTCATAAGGCTCTTCACACCCACCAAGCTGTTGCTTTTACCAGCAGTCACATTTTGGAAGTTTTCAGCTGGGCTGATGACTAGAGCATTTCCACTGGACAGAATAAAAATGTCACCTGTGTCTTAATGATACTTGCTTTCAGCTTATTTTGTGCCATTACCTACCTACCACTGTTGTTCTTTTGCTTCAAAAGGTTTTTCCTGTGTTTGGTAGTCATTCTCTTGCAGGAAAGCAAATGAGTAAGAACATCTGATCCAGCCATGAAAATGTTTGTGTTTCTCCTCTTATTAACATTTTAAATATTATGTTTTTTTAATGTACAGAATTTGAAAGTGTTGTAACTTTTTGGGGTAAAAGAAAGTTTTGGAAAAAGATCCTTGATAACTTTTTTTGGATAACTTTTCAATTGAAGGCTCGGAAAGGATTAAGCAATGATAAATCAGCATTGTATTTTACACTTCATTTACAGGTGATGGACCAACTATCAACCTGTATCTAAGAAAAATGTAAATAGTACAAAAACTAAAATTATATTTTTGCTCATTTGCTTCCAAAAAGTTTTTAAATAGGCCAGCTATAGGATTAACATATTTTCTGTTATGATTATCTGTAAACATCAAATTAGTTGTAAAATTGTGCACATTGAACAAAGCCTCTCAAAACTTAAGAATTCTTAAGTTGGGTTAACATTTTCAGTTTAATACGTTTTAAGTTATTGCATGATTATTCGTTTACTATTATTTATATTCCAAAATCAACGAAATTTCATGTATCTTATGGTGACCATTGCCAGAACTGATTTCTTTCTTGGTTTAAGGTTTAAATAAAACTTTCTCTGCCCTTCGCAAAATTCAGGATTTGTAATGTTATTGAAGATCAATCCAGAATTGTATATATAAGATAGTTACATTTTAGCTTCTGTACTACTGAATTAAATTGTTTTGAGGCCATAATTCACTCTACAGTTGTATCAATGTTCACCAAAACTTTAAAGGTGCCTTGATTATAAATAATTTACTTCAAATCAGGGGTGCAAGTGGCATTATTCAACTTTTCAAGATTGATTTGAGTATTTGTTACAGTCTCGTACAGGCGTCCTGTTTTATCATTTGCATCTGAAATAGGCGTTTTTAGCTGTGCTGCAAGAATGCTGAAATAATACTTCCTAAGTTAGTCAATATGTTTTGAAATCAGCCTTTGGAAATTACACGAAGAGTTTGGATAAAGGAGATCCTTTGGCCATTTGATCTCATCATTCCCGAATACAAAACATACTTCTTTACAACGTTTAACTGCTTCCTAAATAATTCTAGTGTCCTGACTGCAAGCACCCTTCAAGCAGTTGATACCTCACAGTGTAAATACATAAATTGGTTCTCCCCTAGTTGATTTTCTCCTTCCCATTTGATATCTTCTTTGATAACAGAATAACCGCTCCCAAAATGTCTCTTTTTGAGGTTAAAGAGCCCTAGTTTACCTACTTGTTCCTCAGTGAGCATTATTGGTTTCCTCTGTACCGTCTCTGGGACCTGGGCAACCCCTTACATTGTGGCAACCAGAGCTGTACTGGTGTGGTGTGTAATGACCAGAGCACAGTACAGTTTAAACATGGCTCCTAGTAATCTGAGCTCAACTGGATTTTTTTTGCAATGAAGCCCAGAAACCTGTGTACTTTGTCGTGGTTTCACATTGTTTGGACATGGTGAGACATGAAAATTTCATTTCAACCTTTGCAAGTTCTATTGCATACATTTTTAATCAAACGATGCTTCTTAGTTGAAGAAAGAAGCACATGGAAGTAAAATTAAAGAGAAACTTAAAAGGATTAAAGCCTACATTATAACTGCACGTTTCATGGTGATTTGATGTGAGGATTATACCAAATCCCTACAAAAAAGATACCTTCTCAAATGTGCTTATAATGTGACAATCCTGTTTTAAACACAAGTCACCTATGTTGGTAAATAACAACAACAACAGCTTGCATTTATATAGCGCCATTCACGTGGGGTAGTGTCTCGGGATGCTTAACGGTGGTAGAGCCTGACTGAGACAGGATGGGGGCTGGAGAAATGGGGATCATCATCAGCACGGTCGAAAAGGAAGGTCTTCAGTCGTGATCTAAAAGAGGGGGCAAGGCAGATGGATTGAAGAAGAGAATTCCAAAGCTTTGGGGAGTAGTGACTGGAAGCAAAAGTATATATTTGTACTCTTGCTCTCTGCTGATCGTTAAATATTCCCTGAAGACTACTGTAGCATTTCAGCAATAGAATAAAATAGATAAGAAATATTGATTGAGAATATCAAAATGCTTTCTTTTTGTAGATGTTTATATGAAAGAAAATACTGTATATGCATTTCGATAGTGTAAAAGAGTAATGAAAGTTCCACTGGAGAAGCTGCGCTTGTTCTCCTCAGAGCAGAGAAGGTTGGTGGGAGATTTAATAAAGAGTCACAAGGTGCCAACTGAGTGAGTGCATGGGATCCTTTAACATCACCTGAACAGGCAGGCCAGGCCTCAGTTTAACATCTGAACACTCCAGCGCTGTATTGAAGAGTCAACTTGGACTATGTGACTTACATGGTTCATTGAACCCACAGCCTTCTGACTCCGAGGTGAGAATGGTACCCACTGAGCTGGGCTGATTCACGTATTTGGGTCGGTAATTCACATCAAGAAATAAATTATTCTCATAAATTATGCGTTTGCTGTTGAGATAATAGTTCCACTGTAGAAAGCAAAACACTTTTTTTAAGATCTCCCAACACTGTCAGTGATTTGAATAATCAAATCATCGGAAGCTGCTTGACCTTTTAAATTGATGGTCATGTGCATTCCTTCTGTCAACCTCTAGGCGGCAATCTTTCATTAAAAATACAAAAAAATGTGAACTTGTACAAAATATTGGTAATTCTGGCAGCGCAGGGTGTTTTCATATGTAAACACTACCAGTGCTCCAGAATTCAGAGACCTTGTGGTTAACCACACATTTAGCATCAGGCTGCATTCGGTATCACGCACAACTTGCATTTTTATGTGTCATTGAAACATTTCAAAGTATTCGTTGTGTTCAATAGAAATGTAGCTGGAAAGATAAAATGGTTTTGCTTCCTGTGCATGTTTCAAATACATTGATATTCACTGTTGAAAATGTACTGTAACTGCATTTCAAAGGTCCAAACTATTTATAGCAAAGGATTCTCACTTGAAAACTTGCAACTCCTGCCTTCAGCAAACACTGTGTACCTGAGAAATTGGATGCAGTTTTAAATAAGAAGAACTCTGCAATAATGCCTCCTGCCTTCATCATGCACAGAGAAGGCTGGGAATTTAAAGATGAATTGTAATGCACAGTTAGCTACATATAAAGAAAAAGCAATTTGTGGATGAAGACAAAAAAAAGATTTGTTATGGATGATCCATTTTGCTGGTATCGCCCAGACTTAGCACTTAAAAATCTATGCAGGTGATCAGGCAGTCTCGTGCAGTATTGTAGTTGCATTGGCCATTGTGCTTAACGCTGGTCACCAAACACCTAACGCTGGTGTTGAGATAATAATAATAATCCTTGCATTTGATATAGCACCTTACCACGTCTTCGAAACGTCTCAAAGCGCTTCACAGAATATACTATAAAGCGAATTGACTATACTTTGTGGGCAAAATGCGGCAGCCAATTGCGCACAGCGGTATCCCACAAACAAGAGAGTTCACCTTTGATTTTCCCACACACCACTGAGTTGCTGTCCTCAGCTGCATTTCTCCCTGGAGCTGCCAAGTGGAAGCTGGGAGCCTTCCCAGTGAAACAGGGAGAGGGATGAGTCAGAGGGCAATCATTCCCAGAATGCGCAGAGGCCTGAGAGTGAGTAGATGGACCACATTCATGGCCACAGTCTATATTTGGCCTGGAGGGTTTAAAGGAATGGGAATGTTGGGAATGGGAATGTTGAAATGCCTCTAAACTGTCCATGGAGATGATCTATAAACAAATACTTAATCCTTGTTGCCCTTACATTGACATGTAAATCTCATTTGTTTCATGAACGTCCAGTGTACTCTTGAACTGGCAAAGTCTGTGCTGGATGGTGAGGTGAGAAGGAAAGGAACAGATACAAATACGTCTCTGTAAAGGTAGCTTGAACCCGCCCCTTAGCAATTGCAAATCTTCAGAATATTCATAGCACATAAATTGTCTCCATCAGTTAGCTCTGACAGTCGGCTGTTTATAATATACTCGGTGGCTGATTGCGGCAACATTGCCAGTGATTTGCGAATGTGCTGAATGAACTGGAATGGAGCCAGTACATTAAAAAATATGGTTCAACACTCAAGAACACCAGCATTAGGTGTTTGGTGATTTTAAATGGCCCTGATTCAAAGTGATGTTGAGTGAGAAACTTAAACTGGGCATCCCTCTCCACTTCACTGTATTGCTGGAAGCCAAGTGGCTCTGTCCTGGCACTATAAATATTGCATTTGTTTTGCATATTGAATCAATGTCTACGTTGTAGCAGTCCAAGGGAAAAATTGCTGCCACAAAAGCACATTGTATTATGTCACATGATGTAACACGGCAGGTATTATATTATCCCAGGCCAAGGCATAGAACTGTGAACTCATATTCAATTCAGATTAGTCAGGAGTTTGGTATTTAGTGGGGTCTCGGTGTACATCTAATCAACATTTCCTGGTTTTTGTGCTTTAAAATTTACATCTGCAATTAAACTGGATTCGTCCCAAATTAACTTGAATTGCTGTCTGCAGCTCCATAGTGTGACTTTGTGCATTTAATTGTTTCTAAATTTGAAACCTTTTTTATCGAACTTACTTTACATTTTATATACGCTCATTGTCAGTTTAATATTGCTTGTTCTATCGATTCCTATTTTTATTTCCACTCAACAGGAAGTGTTTTCTGTTTGTCATTGTTTTCAGTGAGGAAGTAACAGGGTGTGTCGTGTAAGGAATCATTTTACAAGGTTGCAATGCAAAAAGCATCTCACAGAGTTGTGAGAAATCTTTGTAAATTAAGAATAGTCGTGGAATTGTCAATGAGAGGAAGCAGCTCAACAACATTAAGAGAAACCAGAAATGTAACTTGTATGTTTGACTTCTCCAGTGACAAGTACCTTGCTCCTTCTTTCTCTGATTAGAAATTGTGGCTTTATTTTCTCTTGCTAAATCTTGCAAACAATTACTTTCTTACACCCAATGTACATGGCACTTGCACAATTTCCAGATGTTGCACTTACACTATTTCCAGATGTTGCTCTCGCACAACTGGAATGTGCATTTGGCTCATTTAATAGACTAACCAGCATACTCAGAACAAGTAGCTGATGAACAACCACCATGTAACACATCCAGTGCTGAACAAATTGAATCCTGTTGGGTATCGGCAGCAAAACTCATTCAGAAATTGTACCCACATGCCTCTTTTGTACCGGATTTCATTGTGCGCCTTCGGACAGGTCAATAAGCAGGATTGTGCAGCTATCAATCTATCAACAATGCAGTTTGTCTGCACACCAGCACTGAGAAATGTTATTAGGTGGTCCTATCATGGCCAGATGTGGACACTATAAACCCTACTTATAAATCACAAAATTCTTTCCCGACAGAGTTTGGCACAGTATACACCTCGCCCCTTGACAATAGACAAGTCTATTGTGTTAGCTTTCAACAAAAGTGGATGTCATTTTAGTCCTTTTCATTTCATCAGACGTGAGATGCCAAGATCTGAATTCTATGCTGAAATGCTTCTGCACTCTAATATTTACTACAATAGAGCCCCTCCTGAAACTGAATGGCACAATACTGTTATTATCTCTTAACAGCACTGTATGAATCAGTGCTACAGTGGACAGGGAAAAAAACTGTTCTACACTATGTCGCTGCAGCACTACATGATTTTGTTGATCCTTCCCCACCAACCCCCTCCCGGGGGAAACATCCACCAGGGTTTGTGTTATCCAGTTATCCGCATGGAAACTATACTGAATTCAACTGTGATGACAATCATT